CAAGTTTCAGCAGCAAAAGAGTTAACTAGAAACTAGCTGGTTAGGGAAGCCATCAGATACAAAGCTGTGTAGCTACCCTTTGACATACAAAAATGTTAATTTTCTTCTTCTTCCTCTAAACTTCGAATTCACCCATAACATTATGTATTACTGACAATATACAGTGTTGCTTTAAATACATTTCCTGATAGTTATATAACATACAATTACTACTGCAAATTATTTGCACAAATGTCATGTTAATACCAAGCTAAAGAAGTAAGTTACTACAAAGAAGATATCTAACATTTACTGTTGAGTGTCAAATTATTACAATTAAATTTTTTTTTCTTTTGATGCCTGACTACAGATTTGGTTTAACCTCAATTCAATTTAGGTTATCTGACTATCTAAAATATTTCCTGAAAGATTCCAAAGACCTTTAAATATGCATATAGTCACAGCACTATTTCAATATCAGGCATTAACTTCTGAAACACTAAAAATTTACATAATGAAACTCTGAAATCACTACAGAAAGGTATTTGCACATTATTTCCTCACTCTCCCAAAAAAACCAAAATCAAGCTGAAATAATGTTTTATTTATTAAGCTAGTGGTAGAAACACAGTTCATTATTTTATTCTTCTTCCTAACTTACTGAATGCTTCTTCTGCTAAAAGTATTTCATAATTAGGAAGGAGGAGGGAAAGAAAGGAGGGAAAAAGAGAAAACATTAAACAGATTAAAGAAGATAAAAGTTCCCCATTCACAGAACCAAAGCAGCAAGAACCAAAGCGAGGACCAGCTACCCAGAGCCCACAGCTCCCTGTTTTGGCATCTTCTGTTTGGCTATAATTTTCATTGCATACCCACCACCTAAGAGCCCAGAGTTCTATCAAATCAAATTACCAGTCCAGTGGAAATTTGTCTAAAGACATTGTTAGCAATACTCAAAGAAAATCAAACAAAATCAGAACACAACCTACTCTTTTTTAAAAATCCTAGTTGTAGAAAAAGTAAATATTTTAGAAATCTTTACCTGAAAAACAAGAGCATAGTGAGTAGAATGAAACTTTAGCATGACAAATATAAGAAGTTAACCTATGTCACATCCTTAAGGATAAGCATGAAAGCCAAAAGATCAACTGCATAGTATTTGCAGTTATTTAACTCAGTCATTGGGTGCTGAATTCCAACAATGTGGTAATAGTAGTTTGTGGCTAATACTGTGGTAGAATCAGTGGCTGCTAGGAAGGACACTGACTGGGGTAACCAGGCTCACTGGGAAATTCATGGGGAACTTTAAGCAAGTTACTTATCCTCTCCATACTTTTAGCTTTTCATCTATAACACAAGGGTGTTGACTAGAAAAATCTACAAGACAAAGTTACCAATACTCTAATACTATGACAAGAACTTCATTGTTATACATCTTGAGAGAGATACAAATAATTATGAAATAAAAATCCAATTCAAAACACCAACCTTCCCATGACTCTGCAACACAAACTATACCCGAACACTGAAAGACACCAAACAGGTGCTTTTCAAACTTAGTAGGGTGCCAAATTCTCCTGAAAACTCCAACTTAGATTCCTAGGATTCTTTCCAGACCTGTTTGGGGGAGGGAGGTCCTTTGAGGTATTTTTATGAAGCATCCCTAAATGATATGATACACAGCTAGAAATCATCACTACATTGGGCAAGTCAATGTCCTGGGATCATTGGGATCCAGGAATATAAAAAAGGTAAAGAGGGCTGGGTGTCTCAATGAATAATTAAGATTTTCTTTTAAATAGATCTTTAATGTGACCAACACATTTTTCATACATACCTCTGATCCAAAATGAAGGATGAAAAACTAAATTAGAGAGTCTGTTCAAGTCAATAAATAAATCATGCCTCAGGAAAGTACAGCTTCTCACAGTTAATGACATTAAAACACGAAAAGAAATGAGGAGTGTTCTGAAAGGTATGGCATTGCAAAACCCATCCATCATTACTCATACCTCAGGTTGCCATCCTGACTGGCATTTCAAAGTCAAAACAACAAAAGTTAATAATAATGTCTTGTATATTTCAAAAGAGCTAGAAGCGAGGATTTTGAATGTTTTACCACAAATAAATAATACATATTTGACATGAAAGATATGCTAATTATTGATTTGATGATCCCACAATGTATACACATAGAAAAACATCACATTGTATCTCATACATCTGTACAATTATTATGTGCCAAGTGAAAATAAGAAATACAAAAGTCACAACATTATGAACATAATCATCCCACTTATTACTCAGAAGTTTATGCAGATGCTCCATTTTTCTAGATCTAGCTTTCTAAATGTTAGTATCTGAATCAATACAATGCAGCCCAAAGAAATATTTCACATTGAAAATGTCTGTGACAAGAGAAATACAATAAAAATAAAAGCACAATTTTCTAAAATGTAAATTTTAGTTGTAGATATCCAAGCCAAGGTTTGGTTTTTTGTCTACAACCTTGAATAAATGATCACACAAAAGGCTGTCCATAGAAAATGCTTTGAATTGCCCTTGTTTTCAAGATTTGCTCTTTGCTTATACTTTGAGGGTGACATCCTACAGCAGGTAAATTCTTGGTCATAGACAAACAGGAAGCAAGAAAATGTGTGACTATCCCACAGTTCAAATATAACCATAGTTTGATTAGATTTCAAATGCTTCCCAGATATGGACCTACCTATAATCAGTGTATATTCTTTCTTTTAATAAATTGAACATATTCAGCTAACTGTTTTTATAGCAATTAATATAGCCAATAACATAAATATACATAACCTCTACACAAATGTGTCACTAGGAAGCAAGTTATATATTATGGTAATCTCTCTAAACAATTACAGCAGTTGACAAGTTTGTTTCTAAATTAAACCAAAAAAAAAGAGGTACCTGCTACCATCCAAAAAATAAAAATCAAGTTCTCACAAACTGTATGAAGAAAGTGTTTTCCTTTCAACATCATACCAAACATTCTAATAGAAAGGTGTTTGGATTGCATGACCTTTATATTTCCTATTAATCTTTAATAATCTGTGGATTTGTAACTCCCTGAATCATCTAAAAATATGTATATTGTTTTCTTGTGCTCAACAAAGTAACTCATGTATAAATGTACTTTGGCTGACTTATTAACAGCATCAACATTAATACATCTTACAGTTTTTTTCTTCTTCAAATGTCACTTTCTCTGTAAGATTTAAAGATACAAGGAACTATTTCATTATGGACCACATTGTAGGCCAAGTGAGATATAAGATGCCTCATGCACTTTATCTAAATGGACCTTTACAATAACCTTCCCCCTGGGCTTTTTTTTCTTTTTATAGTTAAAAAGATTGAGTTCCTAAAAGTTAAATAAATAACTTGGGATCACACTGCTAGGATGTTGTATGGTTAGAATTTTAGCCCAAGCCTGACTCCAAAGCCCTTGTTTCTGCTAGCCTGGCATAGGATTTCCCAGCTTGGGGTGAAGAAGGTAATGATGAATAAATATATTTCTGTTATTATTTATGCTTTACTGATTGCTTGGCTCCATTAATCTATTTTTCCTTTAATATAATTTAATAAGCATCTCATTTAGAGATTATCTCTAAGATAGCAAAGAATTGTGAAATTTTATACTCAAATAATTTCAGAATTCTATTTTCATGAAGAAAATAGAAAAATTCACTGTATTACATTCATCCAGGAATATGTATTTTAACACTGTCCATATGACTAATTTAGATCAAAAAATGAGTTCCAAAATGCATAGAACCCAAAAAACAACTTAAATTTTTATTAAAATGAATAAACTTTAAATCACTTCCTTATTAATATGTGACACCATTAGGTTAAATTTTCACCAATATGTGAAGCAATTATTTCCTCAAATTCAACATGTACAAGAATAAATTTGTGCCATATTTTTCCCTTTAAATGTGTCCTCCTTCTAAAGTGTCATATTTGAATTAATAATACAGATGTCTTTCTAGCACCCATGGACAAACATTTAGTCATTTTTGATCTTCTACTTGCCTCCTAAACTCCATATTCAGTCAGTTTTCGTCTCATCAGTCCCTCTCAATTCTGAAGGGCAGTGCTGTGGCTAGACTGGTGTCTTCCTTACCTTTTTCACAAAACAGAAATATCCTCCCCACCCTATCTTGATAACAACCCATTTAGCATACTGGGGCAAGACTTCCAATCCCAAGAGATACTGATTTGACAGCTCTTAGCACACATATTTTTCATGCTTGAACTGCCTATAACTCTACGCTCTAAAATCTGGTTCTCCCCAAAATCTTATACCTATTTACTCTTTGCAATTTGTCTTATGGCCAAACCAAAAAGTTCTGGCTGCTGCTTACATTCTCCAGCTCTGTGCCTTTGGTGAACAGTTCACATTACCTGAAATTTCCCTTCTGTTTGCTTTCCTACAGAGCAATTCTACACATTCTTTAAAACCAGGTCCAAAGACCACTCCTCCACAAGCCCATCCTGACCTTCAAAGGTAGGAGAATTCACCTCGTCCTCTAAGATTAAATAACACTCCACTTATGTCTCTGTTTTGGAAACTAACACTTAGACCCTACTACAGATATTTGTGTACCTCTTATGTTTCCTACCAACTGTAAGCATCTAATAGAGACATACCTCAGTGTCTCTAGCATTTAGTCCATATCTCATACACACTAGGAGTTCAAAGAACTTTCAGTTTATAAATCTTACTTTATACCATAAAGGCCTTTATATTGAAGAATATATCTCTACCTGCATTGCTCAGGCAACCTTTGGGTTTAAAAGTTTTCAAATATGATAACTTCCTTGAATGTTAAGTTTAGATAATCAGAGGATGTGAGAAGAAAATACTCATTTGTCAATCAAGGCAATCTGGGCAGAAAACATTTGTCTTGTCAACCATCTGTTAACCCTTCCCCAGGACACAAGCCCACACAGAGGCAGCTTGTCTGGCATCTGACCAGATATCTTACTTTGCAGTAGACAATCATATTGGGAGAACTCTCCTCTGGGTCAGCAGTTCCCACTGCTCGTTGATCCCCGGATCCCTGAGCCATCCTGAGTGTCTTCTTTCACACTGCAAAAGTAAATGAAGAGACCATCAAGGTACAAATGTATTACATTATTAATGCAAAGAACTAAGCATATTATGGTAGGTGCCATGTAAACAAAACATGATACTCATAAACTTAAAAAGATTTTTTGAAAGTAAATGGATAATTGTGGCCTTACTATTCATATTATGTTCTTTCTAATCCCAAAGTTCTTTACTTTCAGTCTGATGTGTACCCTAAAAGTGAAAAAAAATAAAATAAAATAAATTTTAAAAAATTTAAAAAAATTAAAAATATATATATAGATATATATCAGATATATAGACGTTGAGGGGGAGGTTACTAGGGATGTAACCTAGAGAATGATGAGCTACATCTCCAGCCCCTTTTTTGAAAATTTTATCTTGAGACAGGGTTGGCCTCAAATTGTGATCCTCCTACCTTAGCTGCCCAAGAAGCTGGGATTACAAACATGGGCCATCATGCCTGACTGAATATAGGCCAATTTGAAATATCTTCTTGAAGACAGATGAAGTCAATCATTTTGATGTTGATTTTTGTCTTACCAAAGCTCATTTTCTGATGAATTCTATGTCTTAAAAACATGAGTACTTATTTACAGAAATTCAAATCAAGATCACAACCAAATACTACTTAATATCCATTAAAATAAAAATTCATATAACAAGTGTTGGCAAGGACATAGGGAAATGAGAACCCTTAAACACTGCTGTTAAAAATGTAAAATGGCCGGGCCAGGGATTTAGCTCAGTGGTTCTGCCAACTGCCTCACAAGCGCAAGGTCCTGAGTTCAATCCCTGGTACCAAAAAAAAGAATGTAAAATGGTCAACATGAAACACAGTTTAGTGGTTCTTCAAAAAGTTAAACACACAATTATCTAGCAATTCTATTTTTACATATATACTCCCCCAAAATGAAAACAAGTACTTGTACTTGAATGTTCATAACAGCATTATTAATAGCCCAAAGGTAGAAACAACCTAGATACCCAACAATGGATGAATGGATAAACAAAACATCAATGTCCATACAGTGGAATATTATTTGTCTATAAAAAGGAATGATGTTCTGATGTATCTTTTGTGAATGAACCTTAAAAACCTGCTAAGTGAATGAGTTATGTGGAAAAAGCCATACATTATGAGTCTATTTATTTGAAATATCCATAATAGGGCCGGGGATTTAGCTCAGTGGTGCCACTGCCTGCCTCACAACCACAAGGTCCTGTGTTCGATCTCCGGTACCAAAAAGAAAAAAAAGAAATATCCACAATAGGATAATATATATATATAAAGACAGAAAAATATATATATATAAATATATATATATAAAATATATAAAGACAGAAAACAGATTGGTAGTTGCCAGCAGTTAGGGGTAGGGGGAAAGAGATCACTGCTTCACAGATAGGCGATCTTCAGGAATGATGAAAATATTTTGGAACTAGACACAAGTCATGGTAGTAGAATATTGTGAATGTGCTAGAGGCCACTGAATTATACACTTAAAAATCACTAATTTTATCTTAGGACAGTTTCATCTCAATTTTTAAAAAAATGAATGTATTCAATTTGGCCTTTTTAAAGCCTGAAAAGGTAACAGGGAGATAATGACAGGCAGATAGAATTTCTGAGTAACAAGGCAAGTTCAATTCTTGGTGTCACATTATAATTTTTGTGTGACCTTGAGCAAGTTAAATAACCCATCAGGTTCTCTTTTATAATTTCCCTTTCAAATGGACATACTGAACATGTGCTACATGCTCAGATCCATGCCAAGACACCTTGCTCCACATTTACTCTCCTCAGTAAAATATGAATTCTACAGAGTAGCACACAGGTAAGGGTCAAATAAGCTGAATGAGAAAGTATGCTATAAAACCATAAAAGTCCTTTACAAATGTTATCACTAATCTAACAGCCTGGCTATGTTATGTGCAAGACATTTATGGGCTCTTCATCAAAGAAACTTTTATAAATATCATACTTAACCAAAAAGGCCATTCAATTCAAAATTTAAAACTCAGGAAAAATTCTATAATAAAATAAGTTGGTACAGAAGTCATTCCATAAAAAACAAATTTTGGTTGGAAGTTGAGGAAGAGACAGGAATTTGTAATTTATGCTAAGAATATAATTGTTCAAAATATCCTATTTGAATGATCTGCTGGCTTTCATCATTTATGAATTAGAATGTATTTTTAAAATCAGATTACATGAAGAGATAAAGAGAATCATTCTATTACTTCCTCTCTGTGTTATATCAGTATTCTATGAATAGAGTACTACATGGAAATACTGATTATTATTCTAATCAGTGGCTTTTAAAGTTAAATGAATGACACAGTTTCATTTCACAGTTTTTTAGTTGCCTACTGCCTTAATACAGAATATGACAGGGCATGAAAAACAAAAATTGAGTCTATTTAGGTATGCTCATTTATCTGTGTAACAGAGCCCTTTGGGTTTCCATTGCTTTATTTTAAAATAAGCACTTTCACTTGAATGAGCATATTCCCTTCCACCTAGAAAACTGTGCGATAATGGCAAGGTTGGAAATGACCTAGAAGCAAATGTCTCAGCCCTGTTCTTGTCTTTCCCCAGCCATCCCCTCCCACCAACAGAAGCTTTTCTGTGAGTTAAAACAGGCTGATGTTCCAGGGCTGGACTGTAAACTGCTAAGTGAATGCAGATAGTCTATGTTAAGAATTTTGGTGAGTCTAGTATTCACTAGAAAAGCTTCTATTTTGGGTTCCTCTATCAACTCATTTTGAAACTCAGACAAGTCATTTAATCTTTCTGTGTCTAGAAAGAATCGCTTCTAAGACAGTAATATAGTTACCTTCTAGCTGATATGTCAACAAATGTTAGCAAGAACTGAACGCGAAACATGTGTAGGTTAGAATTTCTTAATTAAATTAACTGATTATAATGCTAGGACTCATGAAATTAGAGAACCGGATTTTCATTCATTACAGTATGCTGTAAAATATTTCTTTCACATGAAGCACAACAGAAACAAACAAGAGTTTTTAAAAATCTAATGGTAGAGAAAAACAGAAACCCTTTTACATATATACTATGTATATATACTCATAGTAAATAATCCAGGGACTTTGATTATAATATTTGAAGAATATAAATATTTTTCTGAAAACATAACTGTACTTCAGTGGAAAGAATTCATTCTAATAATGTTATTTTTCTATAATGCCTCACAGTTGGTAAAAGAAAAGTAAAAATGTTCTAAGAACCTGCCTTTCACAGTCCAAGAAGAGACGATGCAACTTGGTGCTTACAAGCTGACCTCCATTGTCAGACAGATCCACATCTGAATTCAGGCTCTAACACTGAACAACTCTGGGATCTGGAGCAGGTTACTTCACTTCTCTGTTCCTTTGTTTCTCTATCTGTCATAAATGACAGTCCCAGAATAGTAGAAGAGCCCTCTGAATTGGAAGGTCAGACTCTCCCTGCTCTGCAACTAATTATCTGGGAAGGCGCATCAAGCCACAGTTTCTCTGGACCTCAATTGGACATTAGCAGTAAAAACCAGCCTCCTTAGAGTTCTTCTGGCTTTGAGCTAGAACCACAGAACTTCAAATTTCTAACTTTCCTTCAAAGATACTGCTGGCCAGAACATTCCATGCCATTTTTCTTTCATCATCACAGCCTAAATCTAGCCCACTTCCTCCATCCATGACAATGGTCATGCTGAACTTCTCAAAGAATCACCAAAGTGCGGAGGCAGAGCATGCCCCTGACTTAGCACCCCTCTGCATAAAGCAATTCATGTCACACCATTGCTCACCATTAGGTTCCAGGGATTCGACCTGTATTCTTTGGGCAAATATACTGTGTTCTTGGGCCTACGGATTGCAGACAAGGACATAGAAGCTTCCTTAAGATGTTCAGAGCTCAGGGGGGGTGGCAGATCCAACCATAGAAGGGAAATTGAAATATGAAGGTGCTCAATTCTAATGGTCCAGAGCAGGAGGAGGGCACAACTGAGATGGGAGCAGAAGGAGGACCAGGACCTGGGGAAGACAGTGTGTGACATGCTAGCCTAGGGGATAGCACACAATCAAGTATGGACATTTGAAGCTTCAGAAGTGGCTCAGCACTATGCTAGATGCCTAAGAGGACAAAAAATGATCTGATCTCAAAGAAGTTACATAAGAAATGGCCCAAGCGCTGAGAGTGAGATGACAAGCATTCACATAGGCCTGCATTCAGGATATGCAGCATGCTTATGGTCAGGGATTTTCTGTTCCAGAAAGATCTGCATGGGCAGGTGGTTTCTCAGTGGGGTTCTATTCCTGGCACCTAAAACAGAACTTGACACAAAGTAGGCACCCAAATATTTTGAATGAATGATGGAACTGATAAGATTCCACCATATATTAGTCAGTTTTCCCTTTGTCAGAACAAAAATAATAACCTACAATTTAAAAGAGGAGAGGTTTATTTGGCTCACAGTTTCAAAGGTTTCAGTCCATGGCTCATTGGCTCCAATCAGAAACATCTTGGCAGAAGGGCATGATGGAGCAGAAATGCTTAGTTCACAGCAGCCAGGAAGCAGAACACAGGTGAAGAACACCAGGGAGAGATATACCCTTCAAAGGCACACCCCTGGTCACCTACCTCCTCCAACTGGGCCCTACCTCCTAAAAGCACATTCAGCTATGAACATCAGTAGATTAACCCACTGATAAGTGTAACACCCCCACGATCCAATGACATTTCCAGGAGTCTCTTAATCTAGTCAGGTGGACAGTTGAGCTTAACTGTCACACACCAAGATACACCACTGCTCCCTGCTAGGTTCCAGGGACTTTTCAACATTCAGCAGGATAACATCATGTAAACTACACAACAGTCCAAGACCCATACATGGAATCACAAGTGAAGATTTTCCTCAGAGTTTATTAGTAGGGTTCAGTCCTAAACTCAGGAATCCCCCTCTGGAATTCAAAAGCAATCTACCTAAAAAAGACTAGGT